ACCAATTGGTATAAATTGGGTTCTGAAATTTAATTTCTGAAAAACTGTCCCTTTCTGTTTTTCAAGTATGCATCTTTTTAGTATTTTAAGCTATGTTTGAAAAATGCAATATTAAGTGGTTATATTTACAGCGATATTAGACATTCAGTTGTTTTCTTCTATTTCAGGCACTACATAGGAGGGAATTGATGAAGCTTAAGTACTTCCATGATAAAACTACTACAAATTTTATGCATCTTATGCAGAAAAAGTAAGAAAAAATTATTGGCAATCATTCTTGGATCTATTTTAATGATGTGGTCCAGCTGAAGTGAAAATGCAGTTTTAAAACAAATTCTTAATATATTTGTTGCAGAATGATGGACTGGCAAACCATTACATTGATTCTATTTATTTAAAAGATTCAGATGACACTTACAGATGTCTAGCCTAAATTTTCTAGATAAGCTCATTGTGATGTAAATAATACTTTTTCAGAGAAAACTTCAGCCTAATGAGCCAGGAGGAAAAAATCCGTTCAGTTGCAAAAAATCTTGAACAGCTAATTGATGAAGTTCCTTTGTTCCTGGTACGCGTCGAGGAGTTGATGTCAGCATTGGACGAGAAGGTCACATGGAAGGAATGGAAATATTTATTTAAATTAGGGACTTCTAAGGTGGTGAGTTATAGATACTGGAATGATATGGAATATTGTGAGTGTTGGTAGTTGAAGCAACCGGATTGATTGACACAATGGCATATCCAGTATTTTGCTAAGGGAGGGGTGGGAAAGGGGGGGGGGGGAAATGCCTTCTTTTGCTCTGCAATATACAACAGCAGATGAGAACAAATATACTATATAACAGGAATGGATTTGCCTGGTGTGTCCCCTTGGATCTGCCATTGTAATTGAAGATTTTATATTCTAAGGCATTCTTATGGGCGAAGCTAAGTTATCTGTTTGTCTTGTGACATTAGTCAGATCATGCTCAGTTTAACTTAATCTGAATCCACTTCAAAAAATAATAATATACAAAATAAAATATGTTCCAGAGGATACCATATATGAAATGATTTATAGTATAATGATGTTAATTTTGGTCAGAATATTAAAAAGGCTAAGTTGTTTTGCATATCAAAAGGAAATCCAAAACTGATGAACTGAAGTTGTTGTGTTCAATGAATATTCCATTAAAATTTTATAATCAACAGCAAAGAAGAGGACTTTGGTTATTAGACAGCATGTAACTGTTGACAGAACTAATATGTGCACATGTTGGGTATTGCATGATGATTCACCATTATCATAGAATTCCGTGTACATGTAAAGAAGATATTGTTAATGTTGTGATGTACATGGTGCACCTGTGACTTTATTTTATTGCCTGAGCAGTAATAACATCTTTCTTCAAAGGCATCTTCATGGTTTCAGGCGTGGGGTTTAGGGAAGGTAGTGGGTCATAAGCCATCATTAAAGGCAATGATATCTCAAATCTGTGATATGGTGCATCGGGAACAGTTTAACTCGTCCTTGGTAGCCCTGGGGCTGTCTGACCCCCCTGCCACCACCACCACCACTACTACTACTACTTCTACAGCCAATGGAGCAACAAGTGCAATGCCAAAGAAGGTGAACCCGAAGACAAGCCCTGCCAAATATGCTCAGGTAAGGTTTTGAGTAATTTGGTAGTCCAGGTAGAGCATTTTGATTTTTTTTATGTAACTTAAAGGCAAGATTTAGTATTGTATGGAAGAGCGTTATTAATTATAAATAATAGCCTAAGATAAACATAACATTAAATTCACAGGGTATGAAAAGTAATACTGAACTGTGTTCTTCTGGTTCCATTTCAGCTTAGTTCTGTGGAATCTCTGTGTCAGTCTCCACTTGCCAGGGACAGCAGTTTGGCAGGAGGTGCAGTCAAATTATTACGTGAAGGAAGGGGCACTGACATGATATTTGAAATTATAGTTGTTCAAGGTGATTATGGCACAGTCCAACACTTACTGTAACTTGATTTGTTCTTATTTGTTAGTCACAAAATACATTCACTTCACTGAGGAGAACTGATTTATATGGTAACCTGTTAAAGGAATCTCAAAAGCATAAACCGTTCTGTAAATTTTTCCATCTGCAAGATATTATGTCAAAAATGTCAATGGAATACTAGAGTCCACATACATTCAATACTAATATACCACTAAATTTGAAACCAGAATCTGGGGATGTAGTGGTGGACCATACCCATGGAGAACCAGTGTCAAGAACTGACCACTCCAAGGAAGTGGACATCCATGAAATTCAGGCACACTGTGTAATTATTGCAGCTAGATGTGACTGGTTCAGGAGAGCCTTACTTAGTGGCATGAGAGAGTCTATAGACAAGTAAGAATGGAATGGGGTCGGTTTTATGAATATATTACAGGGAACCACCAAGGCACAAGCACTTATCTGATATTTATTTTGGTTTTCTTGTAAATCGCTAAATATTTCATCTTAAGGACTAACAAGGAGTAACAAATGAACATGAATTAAGTGTTACTTCATATTCAATGAAAATTTGCCAAGATAATTAAGGACTACATTTTTTTTAATCAGCTAACTTTGGTGAAAATCTTCATTATGAAATTTTAGAATTGAAAGGCTAAAATGCTATGTAGATGCATATATCAACTATGATTTATGTCTTTTTATAGGAAAATTACAGTGCATGACACCAATCCAAGTCTGTTTAGACTTTTCCTAGAATATTTATATAGTGGGCAATTAGAAACCAATGAGATGTCTACGGAACAGCTGGCAGACATGATGGCTATTGGGGATAGATATGAGGTGAGTAAGAGAAAGTTAAGTGAGGCTTCTGCTGTCAGGTTTATTCCCTGAATTCTGGTGAAAATAAGAATAGCCTAAATTAAAGAGTTCAGCATCAAGTATTCAGTCAAATCTTATTACAGGAAAAATGTGTGCTGTCCTGTACAGAAAACCTGCAAGGTGTTTAATCGCAGTGATGTCCTGCATCTAGAAAATCACCATGATATGTTGTGCTTTTTGTATTTCAGGTAGACAGTTTAAAGTCCCTTTGTGAGAATACACTAAAGCACCATTTAGATGAAGATTCCTCACTGTTTCTTCTCAGCTTGGCAGAGCAATACAATGCAACAGCACTCAGGGTATGTGTTTCATAAAACCTTGCAATGTAAATGTATAACAGTATTCCATTACATGTGTTTTGTAATCTGTGTCATGTTTGAAGTTCAAAATATCAAAAATAGAAGTAAGAGGCCTGTTTCACAGAAGAACTGTAGCCCAAAAATTTGCCTTAACTGAAAGCCCAAGCAATTAAGGAAAGAAAATCAAATCACATACTATACCCTCACATACGGATGGAATGAGTTCCAGTGACAGAGAATTTGATGAAGTCTATCGGATATAGACAAAACATTAGAATTTGTACCATCTATGTGTGTGTGCATGTCCAGTACATGATTTAGTTTTCTTTCCTTAATTGTATGATACTAGAACTGGATGAATCAAAATGTTTTGGTCTACTTTGACCCAAGAGGTGGTAAGATGCATAACAGAGAGAATAAATGCAGTTCTTATCTTTACTAATGTGTACTCAAAATGTAATATGTTATTAAGATGTATTTTTTCTTGCAGTCATCAGCATTAAATTTTATCACAGAGCATCCCAAAGTGATGGAGAGTGAGGTATTTGAAGAGTTGCCAGAACACCTACAGTCAGAGGTGGCTGATGCAGTTTTGTGGCATGGGTGAGGCATGAAGACATCTTTTTTCTTTCAATACAGTTGAATGATGTCAGGCAAGTAGTAAATTGGAGGCTTGTCATCATGACATTTTTCTGTAACCAATAGGTAAAATCAAGGTATACAATGCAATGTCCATAAAAGATACATAGCCAATGAACTTGTTTAGACTTGCAGATTGATCATCATCAGTCATTTAAATTTTGCTCAATTTTACTTTATTATCCAAAGCTTTATTATGGTTTTGATAGGAATTTAATGTGAATTGTAAGGCATACCACTGCACTTTCTTTACTTGTATGCAGGCTGGATTCCAGAAGCCGCAGTTTAAGTGGTCATTCCCATACAGAGACACCACCCTCATCTGTGTCAGGGTTATCCCACACAGAGAGACTTATGGCACAACTAGATATTGATTCAGAGGTAAGTATTTAGCCTCTTTCTCTCTCTCTCTCTCTCTCTCTCTCTCTCTCTCTCTCAGAGAAAGTTGATAGACTGAAACATTTCAAATAAACTTTGCAACATTACTTTGTAGAAAACAGTTAAAAAATCTTTGTTCTTTTAATTGCTGGTTCTATTATTATAAATATTATTAATATTCAATATAAATTTTGTTACAACTGATTTTAGTTATTAGATAAGTTTTAAAACATGATACATCCAGTACTATTTAAACAACTATTTCAAATATTATCTACAATGCTCTCCAGGATGATAAGACCAATTCCAGCTCCTCAGAAGAGATGAACTATGTGGAGGACAGTGGGAGACTTGATGCATGCCTGGAGTCTCTAAGAGACATTGTTGGGGACGGGGTGCCCAGAGAAGAACTTGTGAGAGTTGCACTGGCTGCAGATTATGATGTCAATAGAGCACTTAACTTCTTTTTCTCTGCATGACTTTGACAGAGAAGGGCAGCTTTTGTATATCTCTTTCTACTTTGACATGAGTTGTTTATTAAAGTCAAGATAAAATGGTTCATTCCAAGAGTTAAAAGGAAGCCCAAGAGAAACTGATTAAAACTGCATATTTCATCCATCCATTTTTTACAGTAGAGTGGTGATTGTGCATAATGCCAGTGCATGCACCTGTCTGCATTACTATCTGGAAATTATGTGGATTCAGTATCACTTTTTTGGTAACAACAGAATGAAAGTCACAAGATTGCCAGTGAAGAATTATTGTCCCCATAGACTAATCTCAATGGGCACCACAAAGTATACACACTTCAGATGAACCACCAACACACTCAAACTTAGAACCCTAACTTTACACGGAATAGATTTTCAAGATTGATGGTCTGTAGATTGGAAAGCTTTAGCCAACATTTTGGTTTTGTGGGATCTGCCCCAGTTTTAGCATGTGTATATCCAAAGAAAAGAATCTGCAGTCATGTTTCATATGAACACTTCAAATGTTGCAGCTGGGGATAAAGCAGTTATTTTGTCATCTGCCTTTATTTTAATATGCAAATATGAAGAGGAAACCCCAATTCTTTTGAACGATTTAAAATAATGATTTTGGAGAAAAAATGAGAATGATAAAACCTTTGCTTGTCATTCTTGCTTTATATTTGGAATTATGCTTTGATTTATTTGAAAATGATATGTGGATATAATGTAGCAGGTTTTGATTAGTGGTGCAGAGTACGTGCTATGAAGGAGGTCATGCACTTGTTAAATATTTTGCACTCACGGCTTGTAATAAATTTGATATTTTTAGATGGTGTCAACAATTACAATATGCAATAGTTCTTTCGAAGAAATATATTTTATTCTTTTGTCATCTATTTATATACTTAATGTATTTTGTGTGACCTTGGCTGTGCTTTCAATTGGTGTCATGTCATATATGAATATTACATACCTTGAACTTTAGTGCTCTTTGAAGTGTTCATTGACATAAATATACACTCAGTAAAGTTAAACATCTGTTATGCAAATATTAAACAATGACCTTAATGCCAATTTAAAAAAAGATTTCAGAATTTTGAATTAAAAGTGAAACATTGCAGATTTCACAGGTGCTGTTTTCTTCTTTAGCTATGATTTTCATTATCATTTTTTTCCATACACAAATTTAGTAGATCGTTCTGTAATATATGTGTTTGGTATGAAGATGACAAATAAACAAGATTGTCTTGAGATCATTTGTGATACCACTATTTAATTGAGCCTTCCAAATTTAAGTATCTGATATTGACTTTTCTTTCTTGAATGTACAGGAAGACATGGCTGTGTAAATGAATGGCCAGTGATTTAGAGCTAAAATATTTGGTAGGAAATGGTAATATAAAACGAAGGATCCAAGTGCGGGAACTGGTCGAGGAAGGATTTTTTCCTCATTCACCAAAAAAAAAACAATGGTGGGTAATCCAGGGTGGGAAACATATAAATTAAACACCCAAATTACTGTATAAGCCTTCTCTGTTCGACATTTCTATCTCACGTTAACACACTTATGTCGCGTTAATTCGTTGACGGGGACAAAAGCTACCAAATGCATGGATGCGATAGTTGCACCACTCAACGAAATTGCGCTACATGAGATTCAAAATGTCGGACGAAGAAATAAGCCAGCTCGCGTACGAGGGACGATATGAAATTTTCAAGAGAAAGTTAGCAGAAAACAAAGATTTAGCTACCAAGACGGATAGGGTAAGTATCAAAACATGTTTGGAAAAAGTACAAAGTCTTTACATATGCATGCCGTACGTAAAAAGATAGGATAGAGCACGGATGACGGTGTGACTTGCAACTTGTCTTTCAAAGAGCAGGCGATGCACGTGGATTTGTTTACAACACAATCGACACTTCCACGCTCGCCTCTCAAGAAATTATTTAAGCTACAGTAGTGCACAATGAATAGATGGTAGACATAAAGATGATTTTGAAACACAGAAAAGGTCTGCTGTGAGACTAGGGTCCACACATGAATTTTTACTAACAAATAAAAATGCTTGAGACTTGAAAATGTAGGGGGCGTCTCGATAGTCCGAAGGTTCATTGGTCCGAAGGTTCATTGGTCCGAAAAGTGGTAACATTTTTATCGATTTTTTTAATCAAGGGTTCATTGGTCCGAAGGTTCTATAGTGAACATTCGGACCAATGAACCTTCGGACTATTGAACCTTCGGACTATCGCTACGGCCCCGAAAATGTACACATAGTGACATAACTGAGTATGCAGCCACATAGTGACATAACTAAGTATGCAGCCACATAGTGACATAACGGGGGCGTCTCGATAGTCCGAAGGTTCATTGGTCCGAAGGTTCATTGGTCCGAAAAACGGTAACATTTTCATCGGTTTTTTAATCAAGGGTTCATTGGTCCGAAGGTTCTGTAGTGAAAATTCGGACCAATGAACCTTCGGACTATTGCTACGGCCCTGACATAACTGAGTATGCCTATTACAGGCAAAGTGAAGGGATTTTGATGGGCAAATGCATGTTATATGAAAACATAGAATGCTCTAAAACTTATGCAAGATGGACTGATTCCCAAGGTAAAATTATGTTGAGTACTATATGTACAGTAGGTAAATCCTGACATTTTTCTCTTTCACACACAGTGCACTCAAAGGGCTGCCTGTAAAGGAAACACAAATATTGTCAGACTGCACTCAAAACAATATGTTCATGAAGTAACTAAATAACTGTAGGCATTATTTGTCCCTTATGTGCCTGTAAAATATAGCCCAGGGGCTGAACTATTGAATGCCTCAATTTTAGTGTGCATTTAAATTAGTGAGCCTTAATTCTGATTAAAAATGGGAATATAAATCTGATACTTGTGAGTCACGTAATTTTTATTCCAGTTGGAGAAAACAACTAGATCTGAAGTCGTTGAGATCAAAGTACATTTTCAGATGTAATTGGTACCCTTTTTTTTTAAATTTCTCAAATGTTCAACATTGTTTTTAGGGTGGTCGCGTACCCCTGCACTGGGCAGCATCAGGTGGACATTCAGAAGAAGTGGAATATCTGCTCAGGATGGGAGTGCCTGTAGACCCAAGGGATGATGTAAAGTATACACAGTCACTCTTGGACACATAACTCATGTTTTTTGTAACATCTGTTTTCAGATCCCATTGTCATTAATTAGTGATTGGAAAAGAGAGAGAGAGAGAGA